GATATATCAACAACTACCAGCTGGTATCGCTTTAAATGGCTCCCTTTCCAATGGCTGCATTCAGGCAGGATCTTCCGAAAGGCACCAGTAGCAGCATACCAACGAATAAAGGAATCATAGTCGAAACGGCTTTTTCACTAGCAAATTGGAGCAACAGACTTTACCATATCATCAAATCCCGAAGTTTTCTGATCCGGAAGGCGGTAAAATATTATTTTGCCTAGACTGTTATAAAGAAATACTAGAACAGGAGATAAGAAAGCAGACTAAGTGCCATGTACAAGAAGACGCTTTAAAAGCCATCGGGCTTTGTTTAAAAACTAAAAAAAAATCCGATTACTTTTAAAATACATCAAAATGTAATAATAAAAAAGACGTCCCTTCAAGTAAGACTAGTTGGTCTAACCCAGCTTAAGTTAAAAGAGTATTTTCTGTCTGTTGCAAAAAATTCAAACTGCCAAATTTGACTAGAACTGAACGGATGTGAACACTGAGAAGGAAACGAATTGATTCGCACAAAACAAAAATCAGAGACACAAACCTGTCCAAACCATTGAATGAGCTGCTTCAGGCGAGTTCGATATTTGCCTTTGACAGAACGACATTCGCCGATCAGCGATGAATATGTGGCGAAAATGCAACCCTTCTTAGCAGCGTTCTCTTTCCCACCAATTTTCGAATAGTTGAACTTGTTGAGGGCGTAAACCTGGAACAGTATACTCCTTGAAAATTATTATTCTGCCAAAAGTCAAGAATAAATTTCGTGTGCCTCGGAAAGACAGCACTGAGTTCATGGTGAGCGAAACTGCCAGCATGTTTCATACTAGCAAAGCGCTCAGCCATTATACAGCCAATGAGTAAATTCTCAAAATTTCAGCTTTTCAAACAGTTCGGTGTCGTCACTGAAAATGCCTGACATACACACATACATAAATACACACATAAGTACATACATGTTCACATACTTACATACACACACACACATATAAACGGAAAAACTCCCAATAATATGCGTTTTCGCATTTGCATAAATGCAAAAGAAAATGTCACAAATATAACATCCACTGGGTTACAAATGAACCTGTACAATTCGATATGATACAAACACAGCTTTGCCATCACTCACCACAACTTACTGGAAAAAGATTAGTCTAATCAATGAGCGTCCTTAGTTGTCGGAATGAAGCAGCAGCACAAGTCTCAAAAAGAAGATCAGCTTAAAAT